GAAAGAAACCAGCAACCTTACCTTGAGAAGCAAGAGAACAGAGCAATGGAGAAAAGAGAAGATCTTGAGACAATTTTACCCTACTTGCCGTTAAAGATTCAAGATTTGTCTCTGTCTTGGCCATCACCAAACTTGGTGGAGATTTTAGAAGCTATGACGAAAGGACCGAGTCACAGCGGAGTTGATTCGGGACGAAGTCTCTCTGATTCTATCTCTGACATGAGACAAGCTCTCTCTTTGACTTCTTATCTTTCTTCTTCAGCACTTCAAGGCTACGCTCTCCTCTTCGACGAGGTAACTAAAAAAATAAACATTTTATTTCATCTTTTTCCGAATTTCTTGGATTGATTGAGTGAATAATGTATTGGTTTGTTGCAGAGAATGTCGAAAGAAGAATCAAGCAGATGGTTTAACGAGGTTTTACCTGAAATGGCTTGTCTTCTTCTGAGATTCCCATCTCTCTTGGAACTACACTATCTAAATTCAGACAATCTCATCAATGGAACCAAAACCGGTCTTCGTGTCTTAGGCCCCAACAAAGCCGGCATTGTGTTTCTCAGCCAGGTATATCTTCCAAAATCCTAACACTTTAATACAGAAACAGAATTTGAAATCTGGAATTTCACTTTTGTTTTTGCCATGGCAGGAACTTATAGGAGCTTTGCTTTCATGTTCTTTCTTCTGTTTGTTTCCTGTCGATGATAGAGGCTCGAATCATCTTCCAATCATCAATTTCGACAAACTATTCGGGTATATATACATTCTCAAACAAACTTCATGTCCAAAATCAAGATTCAAGAACCTGTGTTGACCTTATCGCAGGAGCCTAATCAACACGGGACAAAACGAGCATCAAGAGAACAAGATAAAGTGCATAATTCATTACTTCCAAAGGCTATCTTCATGTATCTCTCCTGGATTTGTCTCATTCGAACGAAAGATTCTCTCTTTAGAACAAGGTTCTTCTTGTCTTGATGAAGGCTTTTGGAGAAAATCTACTGTCAATCTCTGCCCTGTTGAGGTAATGAACTAACCAGATGAGGTCAATGCTTGATATTCTGTTGGCGCTGTAAAGATTTTGTGTTTAATCTACAGTTTTCAATGTTGTAGGTTCATACTTATGGTTTGATCGAGGATCATAGCGTTGAAGCTCTTGAAGTTGACTTTGCCAATAAGAACTTAGGAGGTGGCGCTCTTCGCAAGGGATGTGTCCAGGTATACAAACCCTAAACCTAAATTCCTTTTGATCATGTGAAGTTTTCTTATGTGAATAGTTTCTTGAAAAAAACACAGGAAGAGATTAGATTTATGATCAATCCAGAATTGATCGTTGGTATGCTCTTCTTACCAACCATGGAAGTCACTGAAGCCATTGAAGTTGTTGGTGCAGAAAGATTCTCTCATTACACAGGGTACATGGTACTTTGAATTATACAATGTGATTCTGAAAATGTTGTTAAAATGGTATTCTATATACTTTCTGCAGATATTCATCTTCATTTCGGTTTTCTGGTGACTACATTGATACAAAGGAAACAGATGTTTTCGGAAGGTGAAAAACGAGAATCGTAGCCATAGATGCTCTGCGCCATCCAGGAGTCTCCCAATACAAACTTGAATCCCTCCTCAGGTAAAGTTAAATCATAACTTCTTACATTGTCAAAAGTCTTATTATAAAACTGTTCTAATCCTTTCTTCTTCAGGGAGACCAATAAGGCTCTATGTGGTTTCCTTCACGTCTGCAAGAAGCAGGGCAACGCGCAATGCATAGATCATGAAGATGGAGTCGGTGTTGCTACAGGGAATTGGGGATGTGGTGCTTATGGTGGAGATCCTGAGCTCAAGTCTCTTCTTCAGTGGCTTGCTGTTTCACAGGTGTAATCTTAAACTCTTATCTCCTTTAATTGCTTGTAATTATCAATCAATGGTTGTGTTTTGGCTCACAGCATTACATTCTTCTTAGGCAAAAAGACCTTTAATGTCCTACTACACTTTTGGATTTGAAGCACTCCAGAACCTAAATCAGGTTTAGTCTCTTATCACTAGATCAAATTACAAAACAGAGCAATGCTCTGTTCTGATTAATATGGTGCTTTGGGACAGGTAACGGAACTAGTTGTATCCAAAGGATGGACTGTGGGAGATCTATGGAAGAAGCTGGTCAAGTATTCGAACCAAAGGTTAAAAATCAAGAAAAGAAGAGAGCCTAAACTTGGTTTGTTTGATTGGCTTATTTCGATCCAATCTGCTTAATAGCATTCACTAAAACATTTGTCTTACGCAACAAATCTCAGTCTGGTTTCAGATAGAGAATACCATTTGTATTATACTATTATGGAATGAAGTTTGTATGAAATAAAAGGCAGTGAGAAGAAAATCATATCCAGTGCAAAAGGAAAAAGAGAACATTTCATTATTATCACATCCAATCACATTTGTTTAAGGAAGCTAGCCAACTATATTGAATGAAAAACCAAACAATATAAGATAACACTTTGCACTCTCAACAACTATGGGATTTTTTATTTTTGAGAAGAAAGCAAACAATCTACCAAAAGATAATGACAATCAAATACAAATTTGGTGCTGGAGCTGAAGTTGGTGCAGAAGTAGGAGATGGAGGTGGAACCAGATATCCCGGCATGGAGACAAATGGGCTCCTCATGCTTCTCCTTCCCCTCGGAATGTCAACAAATATCCTCTGGTCACTCTCTGCGTCCATCTTCGCGTACACTCGGGGAAATTTGTATTGCTTTCTCCGCAAGAACGGATAACGATGAGCCGATTGGTAGATATTGTAGGCTGAATGATAGAGAGGAAGTTTACTACTTATATAGATTTCAATTTCTTCTTACTCTTTTTCCTACTCCACTCCTTTGTCTTTATTTCCTTTTTCACAAAAAGTAATTTAATCCCTATTTTTCTTGTATCTAATTGGTTGTTCTTTTCTTTTATTGCTAAAATATATTTTCTTTCAACATAATTAATGATTTTCAAATATTTTAGTCAAACCCAAAAGTAAAAGGAAACAAACTTTTACATTTCCTTTCACGCTAAAGAAATAAAGAAAAATTTATTAGTGTATAACGTGTCACGAGGTCCGACCCAGAGGACATACATTCTAATCAGCTTATGGTTACTTATTCCTTTTATGTTTTGAAGCTCATAAATTTAGTTTTATGATAATGATACCAAATTTGTTTTTTACTGAGTAATTGTTATTCATAAATATTTGATACCATTTTTCATACATATTAAAGTTAATGCTATTTAAAATTTTGATTATAAGATATAAAAAAGGTCACGTGATCCGGACCACTATTTTTTTTGGACCGACCATGTGTATCACTTCCTTATAGAACAGTTCTATCCCAAATAACAAAACTAGGGTTTTATGGTCTACAACTCACAAGTCACAAGCATAGACAAATAAAGATTTTCGATCATTTTGCAAATTCAAGCTTTAAGATTGTTGCCGTCACACCCCAAGTTTGTTGATTTTAAAATTTAAATTTATCTTCTTTTCGTTTTCTTAACTGTTTTTTTTTTGTTGTCTCTTTTCAGAGTTATTAGTACTACTACACATTTGGATTTGAAATGCTCCATAACCTATATCAGGTTTCGTTTCTGATTCACTGCATAAAATTTAACAGACAAACTGTCAATAGCTCAATTGGTAAAAACTCTCAAGCAAAAGCCTAGAAGTTGTCTATTCGAATGACATTTGGGAAATGATCATATAAAATGTTAGGCTCCTTGGTCTGAGGGGATGAATCTGAACCTGCCTAAAACCTCTTAGTCTTAAGAAAAATAAAATATAAAACAGAGAAACATCTTGTGCTAGTTTATATTGTGTTTTGTGACAGGTAACGGAATTGGTTATCTAAAGGATGGACAATGGGAGATCTATGGAAGAAATGGGCCGGTCGAACATTCGGTCGAACATTCGAACCAGAGGTTAAGAAGCAACATGTAAAGAAGAAACCCTAAATTTGGTTTGTTTGATATATTGGCTAATTTCGATCAAATCTGGATGATTGCATTGACTCAACTCAACACATTGAGTTTAAGCAACAAACCTCGAACTGGTATCAGGCAAAGAATAACATTTGTAGATTATCTTTATATAATAAATCACAAGTCAATTCTAAAAGAACTGCAATCCTCTCCATCCGACACATGTCTTAAGTCCCAATTTTTACACTTTCAGATTTCTAAACAATTAAACTTTTGCTATTAGACCAAAAAAAAAAAAAAAACTAAAAAAAAAATCTCCTTGCAACTGTTTCCCCTCTTCACCCCCACGATCTCAATATCTCCTCTATGCCTCTCTTCTTCAACAATAGAACAACAACATTATTTTATACAAAAAGCTTACAAATCTCTTTCTTCCTTGTTTTTTCCTACAACTTTTATCATGTAAAAATTTAATAAATTTAATTAAAATTTTGTCCCGTACGGAGTACGGGATTAATACTAGTATGAAATAAAGGAAATGGGGAAATTTATCACACAGAAAAAAAAAAATCATTATACTGTATATAACTATTATCCAAATAAAAATAAAATAAAAAAACTAACGAACTGTATAATGAATGAAAATCTGCACAACTACATAAAAAGATAAGAATAGATAGAGAAAGTATATCTTCATAACTCATAACTCATAAGTCATATTATAACTAACGCAAAAACTTGTTGATATAAAAGAGGAATTAAATTGAAAAATCTACGTAGGGGAAATAAGAAAATACGCAAAAAAAACTTGTTCAATAATATCCTCAGATCTACCACAAATAAGAAAGAATAAAATACTTTTTTATGGCTCTTTTATTAACTCTCAAACCAATTGAATAAAATTTTGAATTATCCATAAGAAACACGAAAAGAATCGTAAGAACCCTAAAAACTCAATTTTGAATTCTAAGTTGCAAACTCTAGAAAAATAAAACTTGCATGACACGGTAATAGAGCTAAAGTCCGGAAAAAAAAAAACAGAGATTGGTCACAAAGCAGATGTCAAAATCTCTAGCTACAACGGGAGCCAGCCGGAGCCAGAGCCGGAAATGAAGCTGGAACCGAGTTGGATCCGGTGCTGGAACCGGGGCTGGAGCAGGAGCCGGTGCTAGAGACAGACATTCCAACGTCGTCCTGACGGAGACGAGTGCGTCTAATTGCAACAAAAGCTAGGGCTGGAGCAGCAGGAGACGAAGGTGGAGCCTGACATTCGGGCTTCGTCCTCTCTGTGACGGGGTTCCTCCTGCTTCTCTTTCTCCTTGGAACGTCATCAAATATTCTCCGGGATCTCTCTGCTTCAGAATTGAAACGATCCATCTCTGCCCACACTTAGCTAAGTCTAACAAAAGAAAGTGTTGTTTTCTCCGCAAGGAACATATAAAAAGAGAGAGAGAGGAGATGATTTTTTCTGTTTGAATAGAGATTTTGATTTATTCTTACGATCCTATTCCTAGTTGCACTATATCTTCTGTCTTTATTTCTTTTATTTACCAAAGTCTTTTTTTTATTAATCCATAGTTTTTTTTTTTTCGTCGAAATTAAATTTTATCAAGAATTGATTAAATCATTGAACAATTGTTCAGCCATCCACAAAGGAGGATTAGAACTAGCAGAATAGAAATTAGTTAGATTACAACAATGTTTAGTCAAATCCATATTGATTAATTTCCTTAGAAACTCTTTTGAGTTTTTCAAAACACAATTAATGATTCTACAAAAAATTTCCATCAAAAATGTGTTGTTAAAAGCGAAACCCAAAATTTAATGGAAATTTTTTGTAATTACTTTAATCAACAACACATTTTTGATGGCCAACAAAAAAAGAAAACATTTCTAAGTTAAATTATTGTGGAAGCCCCCTTGTTCCATTGGTTGACTAAGGGTTAATTAATGCTTCTACACCAAGAGGTCTGGGGTTCGAGTCCCAGATATTGCGATTTATTAATAAATTTTGCAGATTAAATGAGGCAAGTGTGTAGGAGATCTCTAGCGAAGTACAATTATAGCTGTTCGCCGGGATTCTACGCAGAGAAGTGTCGTTAGGTCGTGAATCATTGAAGGTGTCCGTCAAAAGCATGGAGAAGGAAGTGTCGTCTGTCGTGGATCTAATAAGGGTCGGAAGGAATTGTCCGTTGTAGAATCGTTTATGTAACAGTTCTCATAATTTGCAATAAATAATAAATCTAGATGTAAAAAAAAAAAAAAAGTTAAATTATTATATAAAAAAAACAATTTGTTCATGACGTGTCGTTTTCTTATTTGACAGCTTTTTTTTAAGCCTACGAATTCTATCCCAATTAACAAAACAGAGGTTTCTATAGGGTTTTAAGTTGTTTGTTCTTGTTGCTGGGGAAGAAGAAGAAGCAGTGGCAAATACAGTTGTGTTGCTGGGTTTGTTGATTTTTTTCATTCAATTCTATTTTCTTCCCCTTTTTCCCTTTTTTTCTGGGCAATTCAACTTGAAAAATCTCGTTGGGTTTTCGATTTGTTCATTTAGTTTCAGGAGGAATGATTCTTCCATATTCGACACAGTTCACTTGCCCTGTTCAAGAAAATGGATTCAGCCCTTCTTCAGTACTTTACCATTGCAAAAGATATCGTTTTGAGGTTACTTCGTTGAGGCATGACTGTTTTGCTTCGGTGAAGATTCCCTCCTCCTCGGTTAGTTTCTGATTACCTAACTCTCTAATTTTGGTTACTTGAGTTTCGAATTGGCTCAAATTTGAAACCTTTTTTGCTCCGACGTATTGCTAGAAGTGGAATGTTATGAGGTCAAGACGAAATGTGAAAGCTTTTGGGTTGGTTGATAAACTTGGGAAGAAGGTATGGAGAGGCAAAGAAGAAGATAGTGACAGTGAAGACGAGGAAGATGAAGTGAAAAAAGATAACTCTGGCGGGAAAGAAGCGAATCTCGATGATCCAGAAGAGAGACGGGAATGGAGGAAGACGATAAGAGAGGTGATTGATAAGCATCCTGATATCGAAGAGGAGGAGGAGATTGATATGGTTGAGAAGAGGAGGAAGATGCAGAAGCTTCTTGCTGATTACCCACTTGTTGTGAATGAAGAGGATCCTAATTGGCCTGAAGATGCTGATGGTTGGGGTTTTAGCTTCAATCAGTTTTTTAATAAGATAACGATTAAGAATGAAAAGAAGGATGTTGATGATGAAGATAATGAAGGAGATGATAGTGAGAAGGAGATTGTTTGGCAAGATGATAACTATATACGCCCGATTAAAGATCTCACAACTGCAGAATGGGAAGAGACGGTGTTCAAAGATATCAGTCCTCTCATGGTTCTTGTTCACAACCGCTACAAGAGGTTGGTGGTAACAGTTTATTTTGCTGTCAAATAAATTTTCTGCTAGTGGTCTCTTTCATTTCGTCATACTTGACTTTTGCCAATTTTCATGCTTGCTTTGCTTGTCAAAATGCTACACATTTACAACTATTTCTGCATTTGGTTGATTAGCTTATATGCTCATCCCTGCATTTGATTATTATTTCGGCTGTTTTGTTTTTGCATTCAACTCATTTAGTGTTTAGAAAGTTTCAACCTTTTTCTGTATTTGTAGGCAGTTCTGGCTCTCTTCTTGCTTAAATTTGACTTACAGAGGAATATTTCAATCCTCACTATAGTATTTCTAGCTTTGTGTTAATATTTGATACGAGTATCGGCTAATTCCAGGCCAAAGGAAAACGAAAAATTCAGGGAAGAACTAGAGAAGGCAATTCAAGTTATATGGAACTGTGGACTTCCTTCACCTAGAGTAAGTTTATTGGACATATCTCTTTACCATTTCTGAAACCATTCTTTGATCTTGCTGTATATTTTGGTCTTGTGCTTAATCCTCCTGGGTCATTATTACTTCCAGTGTGTTGCTGTTGATGCTGTGGTTGAGACAGATTTGGTCTCTGCTCTGAAAGTATGTGTGTTCCCAGAGATCATCTTCACGAAAGCTGGAAAGATACTATACCGTGAGAAAGGTATTGTCTTGAAACCTGAAACCGTTCAGTACCGGAATCTCTAACCTTTTTGCTGTACTGAGAACAGTTTAACATATTTTTCAGGCATTAGAACAGCAGATGAGCTTTCAAAAATCATGGCCTTCTTCTATTATGGAGCTGCAAAACCACCTTGTTTGAATGGTGTTGTGAATTCGCAAGAACAGATTCCTTTAGTCGATGTAAGTGTCAATTAAGCATAGGCCTTTGTGATCTTATGTAAAGAAAATGTACGAACTGAAGAAGTAATCAATCTTTTGATTGTGAAATATATGTTTTTTCGAAATTGCTATTTATAGAACATGAGAAATTATGAGTCTCAGAAGCAGAGACTTCGCGTCCGTAAACACTTGATCACCATGTTTCTCTCTCTTGCAACGTGCTCTCTTCTCCCTTTCTCTCTCGCTCTCTCTCAATCTCCCACCATCTCTCATCCTCATTTCCTCTTCATGGTTGGTTTCGTTCCGATTTCCAAATTTCTTCATTTGGCAAATACTTTTGATCTTCTTCCATGGATTCGGTAATTATTGAAGCAGATGAGCGGGAGGCGTTGGCATCGCTCGTCCCTGCCCATCCTCTGCCACCCCGTAAGACACATTCCTATGTCGAGCAATACGAACAGAAGCCTCACCATCCAATCCGCAAATATAGCCTTGATGAGGGCTCTAGATCCGTGACATCGGATTCCGAAGCTGTTTATTTTGATTCCTCTGATGGTGAGTTCTCTACCGAAGGAGTAGTCATCATCAATGGAAGAACCAGTGGTGAAAGAGGCAACGGGGAGGAATACGGTTTTGTCACGCCTCCATCGAAACCAGCATCACAGCACGGTGAAAATGACGGCGGCGGGGAGGATGATATCGAGTCCCTTCCAGAATTCATCGGTGCAGGAGGTGGCGTTGACGTATTTAAGGTGCCGGTGCGTGCCGCGGTGAATCCCGGACGGCCGCCATGTCTCGAGCTCCGACCGCATCCGTTAAGAGAGACACAGACGGGAAAGTTTCTGAGAAACATTGTGTGCACAGAAAGTCAGCTATGGGCGGGACAAGAGAACGGCGTGAGGTTCTGGAACTTGGAGGAAGCATACGAGGTTGGTTGTGGCCTTGGCGGGCAGGTACGGCGAGGGGATGAGGATACAGCGCCGTTTCATGAATCTGTTCCGACCTCGCCTGCCTTGTGTTTGATGATTGACCACGGCAATAGGCTTGTGTGGACCGGCCACAAGGATGGCAAAATCAGGGCCTGGAAAATGAATCAGCCGATTACGGCTACTGCGGATGATTCAAAGCCTTTCAAGGAACGACTCTCGTGGCAAGCTCATCGTGGTCCTGTGAATTATATCGTCATAAGCTCATATGGTTAGTGTTCTCTGATCCCAGAGGGTTACTCTAGTCTTTGATGGTTCGTATTTGGATTCTCAAATCTTTGTGGTCTCTTATTGTTTATGATGCAGGTGATATGTGGTCATGTTCTGATGGCGGTGTGATAAAAATATGGACTTTGGATTCTTTAGAGAAGTCTCTTGTGCTTAAACCGGAGGAGAAACATATGGCCGCATTGTTAGTTGAGAGGTCTGGCATTGACCTGAGGAGCCAAGTTACTGTCAATGGAACATGCAGCATATCTTCGTCAGATGTCAAGTTTTTGTTAGTTGATACAGTAAGAGCTAAAGTGTGGGCTGTGCAGCACCTCTCATTCTCACTGTGGTAGGTTTTTTTCCTCTGAGAATAATGACATACATTAGTCTTAAATATTGGAACTTTTTCTGTTGTGGTTCTATTGTGATCATTCAAAGAGATCTATATGTGCAGGGATGCTCAGAATAAAGAGCTTCTGAAAGTTTTTAATATTGATGGGCAAGTTGAAAATCGTGTGGACATGCCACCAACGCAAGGTCAACAAGTTGAAGACACGAAAGCGAAGTTCTTCTCCGCACCAAAAAAGGAGAAATCACAGGGCTTTTTGCAAAGATCGCGCCATGCCATAATGGGAGCTGCAGGAGCTGTTCGTCGAGCTGCCACTAGAAGTACAGGAGCTTTTGCAGAAGACACTAGGAAAGTAGAAGCTATTGCGATAGCAGCAGATGGATCAATTTGGACTGGAAGCATGAATGGCGTAATTGCTCAGTGGGACGGAAATGGAAGCCGCTTGCGGGAGGTGAATCATCATCAGCAGGCTGTTCTGTGCTTTTGCACTTTTGGTGATCGAATATATGTGGGTTATGCAAGTGGTTACATCCAGGTCTTGGATCTTGGTGGAAAGCTAATTGCAAGCTGGGTTTCACACAATGAACCTGTGATAAAGCTAGCAGCAGGTGGTGGTTTCATTTTTAGTTTAGCCACTCATGGTGGTGTAAGAGGATGGTATGTGACATCTCCAGGACCTCTAGACAGCGTAATCCGAACAGAATTGTCTCAAAAGGAAATGACATATGCCCGACAAGACAGTGTTAAAATCTTGATTGGTACCTGGAATGTTGGTGAAGGACGGGCTTCACGCGGAGCGCTTGTGTCTTGGCTGGGTTCTGCTGTTTCAGATGTTGGCATTGTCGCTGTTGGCTTGCAAGAGGTGGATATGGGGGCTGGTTTCTTAGCCATGTCCACTGCTAAGGAAACGGTAACTCCTTTTCTTACAGTTATTTACTCATGACTATATTTCTTATAAAAATAACGGTTGACCAGATCATTAACCAACTACAGCAGGCAAAACCTGTCCAGTACTACCTAGGTTCACTAGCTATTAAGACAAACTATCATCAATAGAATGTTTGAAATGTTGCATGCGGATTCATACACTTCATATCGGGATAATGCTGTTTGTCTACATATTTTAAGTCGGCTCATATTGGTGTTTCGGTTGTAGGTAGGGGTTGAAGGAAGTGCCGTGGGCCAGTGGTGGCTTGATGCAATTGGAAATGCACTGGATGAGAGAAATACTTTCGAACGTATGGGTTCAAGGCAATTGGCAGGACTGCTAATATCTCTTTGGTAGGCGAAAAAGTCATTTCAGACGTGTTACATTTTTGTGTTTCTCGAGTGATTGCAGGTGGACCAGACAACAGTAGTTTTATTTCCTTACATAGCACCAAAAGTCTTTCACCTGTCTTAAGAGTGTAAAGTTAAATCATATATTCCAGATTAACATCTGTTGTCACCTCATGTCTTATAACTTTCTGCTTTAGGGTGAGGAAGAGTATTAGAACACATGTCGGGGATCTTGATGTCGCAGCAGTTCCTTGTGGATTTGGCCGCGCCATTGGGAACAAGGTTTGTCTTTACTGCTATATTTCACTTGGTTCTGTCTAATACAAAATCAGTTAGTATGATGTATGATCCAATAATCAATGATAGTGGATTTTGATGGTTAACCTCCGATTAGGATGAGTCATCATTGTTGATCTTATTGCTCACATATTAATGTTCCTACATTGTAAAAAACAGGGAGGTGTGGGTTTGAGAATCAGAGTTTATGACCGGATTATGTGCTTTGTGAACTGTCACTTGGCTGCTCACTTGGAGGCAGTTACTCGGAGAAACGCGGATTTCAATCACATATATCGGTCAATGGTCTTTTCCAAAGGACAAAGTGTATATACTGCTGCAGCTGGTATAGTCCTGTACCTGTTTTTGTCTTGCTCACTTGGCTTCTCCACGTACTTATTTTGGCTTCTTTATTCTTCTGGCTTGCCATGGGCCCTTTCTCTTGCAGCTGGTGCTTCAACATCAGCTCAAGCGCTAAAGAATAACCCTGTAAGAACTTTTTATATTAGCATTTACATTTTTTTGTTCACAATCTCGGTCTCAAGCTCCTGTTGTTTGTCCCTTACTATTGTTATTGTTCTTTTTCTTTGTTTCCTAGAATACAAACATCAGCACTGAAGAGGAGAAGTCTGATTTAGCAGCAGCAGATCTGGTTGCATTTTTCGGTGACTTCAATTACAGGTTGTTTGGTATAACCTACGATGAAGCGAGGGACTTCATTTCGCACCGATCTTTTGATTGGCTCAGAGAGAAAGACCAACTTAGGCAAGAGATGAATGAGGGAAAAGTGTTCCAAGGAATGCGTGAGGCGTTAATCACCTTCCCACCGACTTACAAATTTGAAAAGAATAAACCAGGTCTTGGAGGTAAAAGATTGATTTGAAATACGCTGCAGATTTCTCCTGGTTGCTCTATGATGAGTTTGTGGCTCTGATTTCTCACTAACTAAAGAATGGAATTGATTTCTATGCTGCTCCTATCTCCAGGGTATGATTCAGGAGAGAAAAAGCGAATACCCGCATGGTGTGACAGAGTTATATATAGAGACAACCAATCAATCTCATATTCAGAATGCAGTTTGCAGTGCCCTGTAGTTTCGTCGACTGTAATGTAATGTTCCATCCACGATATTCTGATCTTTTCTCTCTTTTTTCTCCCCTTCCCTCTTTCCCACCACCCTCCTATGCGTTGTGTTTGCAGGTATGAAGCTTGCATGGATGTGACTGAGAGTGATCACAAACCCGTGCGGTGCAAACTTCATGCTAACATAGCTCACACCGATAAATCTGTGCGAAGACAGGAGCTAGGGAAAATAGTAAAGTCCAATGAGAAACTCAAATCCATGTTCGAGGAACTAAAATCGGTTCCAGAAACATCAGTGAGCACCAACAACATTCTTCTTCATAGTCAGGACACTTTCATCTTTACTATCAGAAACACTTCAAACTCGAGTAGAGCCATCTTCAACATCGTCTGCAAGGGTCAAACTCTCGTTAGAGAGGATGGAGAGGAACTTGATAATCATTCAAGAGGCACCTTTGGTCTCCCTCGCTGGCTTGAGGTTATTATTCTCCTTTTACGCCAATGAATTGCTGTTTTCTCCATACGATTTGACATGATTTAATGACTTTTGTTATTAAAAAAATAAAAAACCTTTTTCTAGGTTTCTCCAGGAGCTGGGATTATAAAACCAGATGCTTCACTGCAGGTGAAGGTTCATCATGAAGACTTTCACACCTCAGAGGAGTCCGTTGATGGCATCCAACAAAACTCATTGTCTGAAGAAAGTTCTGACAAAGAAGTGACCCTGATCATAATCATTCAGGGAAGCTGCTCGACCAGAACAACAAGCCACTCTATCAAAGTCCGCCACTGCTCCTCAGCAGTCAAATCCCTTAGTCTCGTTCATTCTAAAACAACCAGCATGACAAAGAATCTAGAGGGTTCCACTCGTTACCAGACAGATGCTAACCGTGGTGGAAGCACCAGACACAGAACCGATGAATCCACCAGACGGGGTTGATGA